CTCTCTCTCTCTCTCTCTCTCTCTCTCTCTCTCTCTCTCTCTCTCTCCCCATCAGGAGTCAGTTACTGCTCCAGGGGTCATGAACTCTTCCATGTTCTTTCTGTGCTCTCCACAATCGTTATAATGGACTCAACCTTTGAAACTGCACGTTAGCCCCCAATTAAATGTTTTCTTTTAGAAGAGTTACCTTGCTAATGGTGTGTCTTCACAGAAATAGAACAGTGACTAAGACAGAACTTGGTACCAGGAGTGGGATATTGCTGTGACAGACCTTACCCTGCTGTCTCTTGGAGGAATGTGGACTTTGAGATTCTGAACTTAGAAAAGCACTTGGACACTTAAGTGTGTGACTTAATGGGCCATCCTAGTAGGAGCATGGAGGACAGTGGTGCTGGAGGTGATGTGGAATGTGGGACCCCAGATCATAAGGTTTTAGAGGGGAAGAATATTACGTAGTCTAGAGACTATTCTTGTAATATTTTGGCCAAGATACTGGCTGCTTTCTGCTCTTGTCCTAAAACTTTGCCAGGGACTAAATTGAAAAATTTTGAATCAGTCAGTGGCACTGACAGAGAAGATTTCAAACAGCCTAGTATTAACTGTGTCCTGTAGTTAATAGTTGTCACTCTAAGCTAAGTTTCTGACTTGTGAAAAAGAATTTTAAAAAAGTTTAAGCTTTTTAAAAACTATGCTGTTGATGGAAACTATAACCAACAGAAAGCTGATGCAGGTGTAATTGAATTTGAATAAGGGGAGGGGGTCATGTTCTAGTCCCACAAAGCAGCAGAACTTAGCAGCTTTGGACTTGTGATTCTGGCTTTAGAGTAAAGAATACAAGGGGTTGTAGAATCTCCATCTGTGACTAAGAAAAGCTGTCTAGGCCAGGGGAGTGCCAAGGTGTTCCTGCATGGAGGCCTGGAGAGGCCATTGCATGGAGCTGTGAAGGTGAAGCCTGCATTGTGTTGGAGACCCCAAGATGTTGGAAATGCCAGAGGTGTGGGACACCTACCAAGAAAAACTGCTAAGAGGGGGTAGAACCAGTCCAAGGAAAAGAAGTGTGTTGCAGTCAACAAAGCTGAAAGGAGTTGGAGATTTGGGAGAGCGTTTTGACATCACACATGGAGTTGTAGAATTTGAAGTTTGGCTTGCTGGTTTTTGGTCTTGCTTTGGTCTAGTATTTTCTCCCTATGTTCCCCTTTCTCCCTTTAGAATGATAATATATATTCTGTGCCATTGTATGTTGGAAGTATGTCATGTGTCTTTTTTATTTTGATTTTACAGGGGGTTACAATTACTCAAGAGATTTCTTTGAGTCTCAGAAGAGACTTTGAACTTTTAAACAAAAGTTGAACTTTTGAAGTTGGACCTAATACATTTTTTGCATTATGATATGGCTACTAACCTATGGGGCCAGGGAGTAGAATGTAGTGGTTTGAATAAAAATGGTCACCAAAGGCTCATATATTTGATGCTTGGTCTTCAGGGAGTGGAACTATTTGAGAAAGATTAAGAAGTATGGCCTTGTGAAGTAGGTATGGCCTTGTTGGAATAATTGTGTCATTGGGGGCTGTGAGTTTTTAAAAGTCCATGCTAGGAGCAGCTCTCTCTTGGCCTGTGAATCAAGATGTAGCTCTCAGCTACTGCTCTAGCACCATGAGTATTGCCATGCTTCCCACCATGATGATAATGGACTAAACCCCTGAAACCGTAAGCAAGCCCCCAATGAAATGTTTTTTGTTTGTTTGTTTGGTTGTTTGGTTTTTTTTTTTTTTTTTTTACAACAATTGCCTTGGTTATAGTGTCTCTTTACAGAAATAGAACAGTTTCTAAGATACACACCTGTCTTCGGGGAAATGTAGAGACATTTTTTCAAGGACTTGAAGTAATGTCACATCTCATCAGGAATAAGGAAAGCATTTTCAGAAAGAGTTTGCTTTGCCCAAGGTCATCATTTGATAGTAGCCAATGAAGTCTAGGAAAGAGACCCATGTACACAGCCTTCTGTGTTCCACAAATTCACGAGCCTAGGAAGGTATATGCCTGCGCGTGGCATAGAAGACAGAGACAGTTGACATGGAAATGTGCATACACATTTCCTTTCTTGAGTAAGCAGCTTGCAAAGAGGCCTGTCAAGGATGAAGACTGAAGGGTCACAGCCTCACCTTTCTGATGAGCCCGTGGAAGAGTCTGCTCTCTGTTGGGTGGATTGCCATGTGGGCTCCGTGGCAGGGTCTGGGGTTTGCTCTCCATTGTCACCTCCTGGCACACTCTCTTCTTGAAGAACGCCCTCTCCTCTTCATGGTTCTACAGTTTCCACTCACAGAATGTTCGGAGACAAACAGAACAGGGATGGCACACACAGACGTTACACAAGCAAAGAACAAACACCTAGACACGCTTTTTAAGACATCTCAGCGCCATCTTGTAAGAGCTTTACACGACCCTCATTAATTTCTGATTTTTGTGCTTATTTAAAGAGGCCCATGTCTAAGAGTGTTCATTCAGAATCAGGCCTTTTGACCACAAGTTGACAGCCGGGAGGCGAAGGCAAGCACTAAGATTTCTGATCTTAATCTGGTCTTGCTAATTCCTCCTCCCCGAGAAGACAGGGCCTAGAACTGAGTGTGTGTGGGTTATCCATCTGTGTAGTCTCACACTCTATTCCAGCCTGAAGTGTGTGGGCAGAAGGGTGGGAAAGCCACTTCCGCTGTCCTCCAGGGTCCAGCAGGGGCCTTGGCACAGCTTGCTGGCTAGAGCCCTCATCATGGAACTGCTGTTACAAAACGCCCCCAATAGGCTGCCTTGAAGTGAAGAGAGGTTTATTTTGTTCACAGTCTGAAGGCTTGAGTCCAAGATGGAGTAGTCCTATTTCCGTCGTCCCTGCTGAGGATGGGGACATAGAAACGGTGAGAAGTACTTGATGGGGCAGGCAGCATCGAGAGCTAGGAAGCAGAGGGAAGGGACGGCGTGAAGAACACAAAGCCCCAGATATGCCACCTCCAGTAAGCTAAGGACTCCCTACTAGACCCCACCTAATATCGCCATTTTAGGGCTGGATGTTAGGGATGGAGAACTTATTTCTCTCCAGGGAAGGGCACAGAGGATGGTGTCAAATATTTCATTGTCTCCGGCCCAGCAGATCAAGCGTTGCCTCCTCCAGGGAGCAGTGTCTCCCTATCAGCTGGGGCTCTGGGCAGCTCTCATATCACCGGGGAGCCGAGAACCCACCGGTTATCAGACTACGCCTGTGGCAGGGACCTCTTCGATAGTGCTGCCTCTTCCCTCCTAATGACCGTGCCTTGTGGGTTTGGCACTGGAACTGGAACCGCCCTCTGTGGTGCCCATTATCCTTTGGGTTAGGTCAGGCGAGGAATGCAGTCACCTGGAATTTGCCCATGACTGGCCATGTTTACATGTGGACATTTCTTCATCTCTCTCTTCTTCCATCTTCTCTTCCTTCCTTCATATGTCTTTATATTTACAACGTGAAGACTGTCATGGAACATTATAGTTGAAAATCTCAGTAACACAAGGGATCATGCATTACAAGAGAGCATCTACCCCCTTTCCCAGCTGCGAGGAGGAGGAGGGTATGCCTGCTTTGATTCTTTCTCGACTCTTGACATAGACTTCTTTCTCACTACTAAATCCTCATGCCTACCTACAGGTTTCTAGAATACTGTCCTCAGCCTCGGCCCGTAGCCTCCTGATGTTCAGATGTGAGCATATTTTGGGGAGGACACCCATGTGGACTCGCTGGCCAGCAGGGTCCTCTTCCCTACCCGCTCTGCTGGGTCTGGTGCCTGATATTTAAATTTCTCTGGAAGTTGATCTCAGGAGAAATTCTTTTGTCTGGGAGTGGTAGGGAGTGTTGGGGTCTGGATGGGGTCATTAGCAACTTGGCATGTGGAGGCACACACACACACATACACACTCTCCTTCTCCCTCCCTTCCTCTCTCCCTCCCTCCCTCCCTCCCTCCCTCTCCCCCTCTCTCTCTCTCTCTTCTCTCTTCTCTCTCTCTCAATTCTACTTCAGCCTGCTCACAGGGAAACCTGATTTTAAGACGAGAGAGAGTAAGCATTATTAGTGCCACACTCCAGCCTGGATGCTTTCAAACATCAGGAATCTATTGTCCCCTAGCTCTGGAGGTCATAAATCCACACTGAGGTGCCAACAGGTGGTACCAGAGAGATGGTTCACCAAGTTAGGAGCACTCATCATGTGGTGTAGATTTTGTCATCTTCATACAAGCTACGGTCATCTGGGAAGCAGGAACCTCCATTGAGAACATGCCTCCGTTAGATAGGCCTGTAGGCATGTTTGTGCTGCATTTTCTTGATAAACAATTGATGTAGGGGGGCCCAGCCTACTGTGGGTGGTGCCATCCCTGGGCAGTTGGTCCTGCCTGGGTTTTGTAACAAAGCACGCTTAGAAAGCCATGGCAAAGAAGCCAGTATGCAGCATTCCTCTACAGTCTCTGTTTCAGTTCGGCTTCCAGGTTCCTGTCCTGACTTCTCTTCATGAGGGATTCTAAGCTGTAAATTTAAGTAAATCCTTCCTCCCTTAGTACTTTAGTGGTGGTCTTTATCACAGCAAGAAAAAACCACTGGAACTAGGATGCTGTTCTTTTAGTGGGCTGCAGTTTGGTTCACCATGACCTCTGGAGGCTCACAACTCTGTAACTCCAGCTCCCAGGGATCCAGTACCCTCTTCTGGGCTCCAAGGACACTCACACAAGGGCACATGCAACATGCATAGCCACATAAAATAATGAACTCATACACATACACGTAATAAACTAAACACAGCAAATTGTTATCAGGGCCATGCTCTCCCTGGATTGAGGGGAGGGTCTTTTCTCCTCCCAAAACCCAGCTCCAACTGCTACTGCAATCCTCCATGCTCTCTGAGTTGCAGGAGGATCACGCCATTCTCTGCCGCCATTGGCCCATGAGGGTGTTCTTTGTCTCTCGCTCTTTCTAATTTTTTTAGACTTTCCTGTCTATTGCAATAAAAATAAAATATAAACAGTTCCTCCATCACAAAAGAACCTGATGTCTAACATTAGGAAAGGAGCTGTGCAGAGCATCATAACCACACCACAAACTATCGTGCAGCCCTTAAAAAGGATGGATGGGGCTGCGGAGATGGCTCAGTGGTCAAGAGCACCTGGCTCAGGTCCCAGAGCCCACAAGATGGTGCACAACCACCCGTAACTCCATTTCCAGGGACTCTGCCAACTTCTGATCTTCAAGGCAAAATATTTACTCAAATAAAATAAATAAAAATTAAAAAAGGAGCCGGAAGGTGGTGGCACATGCCTTTAATCTCAGCACTCAGGAGGCAGAGGCACGCGGATCTCCATGAGTTCGAGGCCAGGCTGGTCTACAGAGCGAATTCCAGGGCAGGATCCAAAGCCACAGAGAAACCCTGTTTTGAAAAACCAAACAACAAACAAAAAAGGATGGAAAATGGTCTACAGTGTGACAGAAGGCTGGAAAATGTCAAAACACAAAGTGCAATCTCTACTTTATACAAGACTCGAGCATTAAACAGAGTGTATCTTGGGGGGATGGCATCACTGATGTTTGTATTCTATGTTTCTGTGCTTTCAGCTTGTCTATAGTGAGGACTTTTATGGCTAGGAAGAAATTTATTTTAATTAACTTTTAAGGTTAACATACAAAAGAATATTTCTTGAAGGCATTTGCCCACATATGTATCACTATACTTTGCTCATATTCTTCCTCCCTTCTCTCTGGTCCATTCTTTTTCTCACTTCCTTCCTTATTTTTTGATTTTAGATAGGTTCTCAGTGTGTATCCCTGACCTTTCTGGAACTCAGTCTGTAAACCAGGCAGGCCACTAATTCAGAGAGATCCACCTGCCTCTGCCTTCTGAGTGCGAATTAAAGGCACATGTCACCATGCCCAGTCTTGTTTTTGCTGTTTTGAGACAAAGTCTTGCTACATAACTCTGGCTGGCTTGGAACTCTCCATCCTCCTGCCTCAGTATCCTGAATGTTGGGTGTATGGCAGGTGTTAGTTACTATGCCCAACTGAGTTGTCTCCTTCTCCTCACTTTCTCTTCCCTCTCCCTCCTCTCTAGCTAACCATTCATATTGGAATAGATGTCAACTGCGCTACATTATGAACTTACTCTGCTTTATATAATGGGACCTATGATGACCTAATCGCCAATAAAATCACACTTTGAGGCCTGACATATAGAAATTCTGTGTGTCTTCCCACTCCTACCCCTTCAAGAGGAGCATAATTCAAGGTCCTTTTTAGTTCTTCCCCACACCTGTAGTAGCCTGCCTTCATTCCTTCTTTCTTTTCTTTCCTTTTCTTTCCTTTCTTTTCCTTCCTTCCTTCCTTCCTTCCTTCCTTCCTTTTCTTCTCTCTCTCTCTCTCTCTCTCTCCTTTTTTGTCTTTTTTTTAATGCTGGGGCTGAAACCCAGTGCCTTCTGCATATTCAGCAGGTGTTATACCTTGGCTATACTCTCTGCCCCCACTCACTCCACTTATCATTACCCTGATGAGATAGTAAAATTTCCAAGAGAAGACATATTTCCCATATGCAGTGGCAAACCAGGAGCTTCGTGGCTAGCTCAGGTCTCTAGTTCTGGGCACTTTGTGCTCTGGAAGACTTCTTTGAATTGGTTTGTGACATTTACAAGTCGGGGAACTCCACCAGCGGATCTGGATGTTTGGTCTCCAGGGCAAAGCAGAACACCTGCTGACTTGAGCATCCCATCCTGTGTTCCCCCTAGCCCAGAGCAGAGCAGGGGCTTCCCAAGGTTGGGCAGAAGCACCTTCTCCATTTTGCTCCCCAGCTGGGTCAGCTGTCACTCATCACTTGAACCAGCTGCCACCAAAAGACTATTAAGGGAATAAATGAATAAATACTTGATGATAATGTGGGCGGCGAATGAAATGTGCCTGGGATTCCCGTTTTCTGTGCGATCATCTGAATCTTCCCCAGTGAAACTGCCATCCTCACTGTTCTGCTGAGACAGTCAGTGGCAGATTCTCCGCTGATGTCTCCTCTCTGTTAGCAGCATGGACACAGTGGGTCGCCGAGGGTCTTAGTCGGGGTCACTCTTGGATGAAACACTATGACCAAAACAACTCGGGGAGGAAAGGGTTTATTTGGCTTATTCTTCCATATCACAGTCTGTCATTGAAGGAAGTCAGGACAGGGAGTAAGTCAAGCCAGGCCGGAACCTGGAGGCAGGAGCTGATGTAGAGGCCAAGGAGGGGTGCTGTTTACTGACTTGGTTCTCATGACTTGCTTAGCCTGCTTTCTTACAGAAGTCAGGACCACGAGCCCAGGAATGGCACCACCCATAATGACCTGGGCCTTCTCCCATCCACCACTAATTAAGAAAATGGCTTATAGTTGAATATTTTGGAGGCATTGTTTCCCCCAGTTGAGGCTCCCTCCTCTCTGATGACTCTAGCTTGTGTCAAGTGGACTTAAGACTAGTCAGGACATCTGCTGTAAAGACACTGTCTTCCAGGAATTCGGTCACACTTACGACCTCTCACTGGCCAACATCAGTGGCTTGCAGACCCAGCCTCCATGTTTCTGGAGCCAGTGCTCTCTCAGAACATCACACTTAATCCTGTGACTTTAATTGTCTCCTCCCTGCTAACTGAGTTTTGCCTGTGGCTGGCAAGCCCCTCTGAGCTCCCATCCTCCGTCTTTGCTTAGAGACGTAGTAGCAAAGAGCCTTAAACTTAAAGGTTGAAAGCCATCTCCTCCAATGCTTGTTTCTCAGGGCCCAACGTCTCAGTAGACATCATGCTAACTCTCTCAGTTGATCGGGGGAAACACTAAGTAAGCATGCTCTTCATGAATTTGTCCCCTCATCCACTCAGCCTGCTGCTACAGCCTTTGGAATGGTTGATTCTGTGCCAATTTACAGAGCTCATGGGAGAGAGAGAGAGAGAGAGAGAGAGAGAGAGAGAGAGAGAGAGATCAGAAAGAGAACTTTAGTTTGATTTTAGGCCTGACCATGTTTATTCATAGTTAAGGGGCATCAAAGGGCATCTTGTCACTTACTTGTGTCGTACAGTGAAGATGGGATATGGTCTCTTATGGGGTGGAAATGACATCTGTAGCCTGCAAGGGAAACTGGGAATTGTAGTCTTTCAGCAGGAAAGTATCACAGGTTATTTGACTGACACACCAGTGTAAGGGTGACTGTGAAGGCACTTAGGGTGAAGTTCATCTCAAGAAACGTATCCTAATATTAAAAACATGGTAAGTCATGCTGGGAACATGCTGCTCAATAGTGGAGAACCTGCCTGTCGGGCATGAGGCCTTGGCTTTGATTTTGGGTCTTTTTTTTTTTTTAAAGGGGGAAACAAAAGAAAATAAGCATCTTAATAAAAACTTCAATGACTGCACTAAGCCTGCCTGATTTTCAGTGCTAACTACACTGAACACTGGCTGTTTGTTCTCAAGAGCCCCAGCATGGAGACAGGGGTGTTTGCTGCTGTGGTCTCTTAGCTCACCCACCCACAAACCCCTGCCTCCCAACACTCTAGTCATGGTGCTTCCTTTAATATGCAACCCAGGCTTCGGCCACAAGACCTTTGCTCCTGCTACCTCTCTGCCTGGAAACCTGACCATTCATCAGAACAACTCATGAGCAGAACTGAGGCCTTTGCATCTCAAGGGAAGCAGGGACTTCAAGAATGAACTGTTCATTTCAGACTTGCCAAAATGTCTGTCTCAGTCAGCCACCCCAGGGGACCCTCTGGAACCGTTGATCCGGGTCTTGATCCATCATCATTTCTAGTTGTGTGGCCCCTGTATGGCAGTGGTTTGGGGAGAAGTCCCAGACAAGGGATAAGCTTAGCCATTTGCATACAGAAGTCAGAGCTTGACTTCTCTTCGCTGTCTGATTCTTGGGCA